TACTAAGAATTTATAAAGCAGCACTAATACTTCACATTATTTTGATTCTATGCTTCTGGTTATACTTACAAAGTATTTTATTAGCTTTTTTGTCTGCTGTCGTACACTGCGGGCTAATAGCAATAGCAATAGCAGTTAGACTTATATACCGCTTCATAGGCGGTACCGCTTCAGCCCTCTCTAAGCGGTTTACAGAGTCAGCATATTGCCCCCACAATCTAGGTCCTCATTTTACCCACCTCGGAAGGATGGAAGGCTGAGTCAACCTTGAGCCAGTGAGATTAGAACTGCTGAACTGCAGATAACAGTCAGCTGAAGTGGCCTGCAGTACTGCACCCTAACCACTGCGCCACCTCGGCTCATATGGTATCAGGGCAAACAGACGCCTTGCCAGTCCAAATACTTTGCTTTGAGGCAGGTGTATCCAACCTTGGCCATTTTAAGACTTGTGGACTTCAACTCCCAGAATTCTACAGCTAGCTATGATGGCTGGAGAATTCTGGGGGTTGAAGTTCACAAGTCTTAAAGTTCCCAAGGTTGGACACACCTGCTCTAAAGGGTGCTTGCTCAGAGCAAGGTATGGTGGTAAGATAACATGGTGGCCAGACTGGGTCTTTGGCAGTGCCTCAAAACTGTCTGCAGTCAGTAATGGGCTGGATAAAGAATAACAACTTGAAACTGGATCTAGACAAGTTATAGGCAGAGGTGGGCTCCTCCCGGTTTGAACTGGTTTGGCCGAATAGGTAGTAACTTGGCCAGACACGCGACCGTACCGGTTCTATCCTCGGTAGCGCCATCTTGATTTTCTGTTTTGCACATGCGCAGAACAATCTTCATTGAAAAAATGTATTTTCCCCTTTTTAAATGTTGTGCACATGCGCAGATATTTTTAAGTGCAAATGCGCATGCACGTACAAATTTTTTGGGGCAACGAACCGGTAGTAATGCCAGCAGGAACCCACCCCTGGATATTGGTACTTATTATGAACATAAAGGAGGTATGTCTGCCTCTTCTGAATCTGGGATGATGTTTTCCCAGATATGTCATTTGGGCCATGCTTTGGGACCTGAATCTCTGTTTTTCTCTCCTTCCAAGATGATGACTAATGCCAGTAGTGCATTTCATCAACTTTGGTTGATGTTGTGGCCCAACAGCATCTGGCTGAGCTGTTGGTGGAATCTGACAGCGATGAACACTATGGGACTGCCCTGGAGGCTGAGGAAGACTCTGGGGGGTGTTCGGAGTCAGGGACTAGAGAGGCCTGTTGGCCACCAGATGGTGTCCGAATCAGGGAGCAGTGAGGAAGAACAGAGGGAGGCTGTCCCTGATGCGTAGGACTGAGAGGAGGAGGGGGCAACTTTGGAAAAAGGCTCACAGAAGGAAATAGGAACAGGTGGCTACTGATTGGCCCCTCCCAGAGAGCTTATAGGTGGGGTGGCGGGAGGGGAATTTTTCAGGAAACAACAGTTTACTAATCCAGGTGTAGAGAAAGATTGGGAGAATTTTGTGAGTTCAAGCCTTGTTTTCCTAGAGATAATTTTCTGTGCTCCTAGCCAAGGGGTTGCTAATCTCCCTCCTTAGTTGTGGCAGACAGCCAAGTCTGCATCAGTATATATTAGAGGCTTGGGACAGAACATGTTGATATGACAACTGTATGTCTTCCTGGAAAATAAATATTTTAAAATTAGGCTGTTGTAATAATCTCCAGGGTCTGTGGTAACACCCGCTTCTGGAGGGGAAATGTCAGCTGTTAGGCAACATGGTCTTGGGAAGAACATAAGCTGACCACATTTTGTCTGTGCTTAAAGCCCTGCCAATTCATTTCTCTGCAAAATACAAAGAGGTCATTATCTTTAAAGCTCTCCATGACTTAAAGGTTATTTGAGGAAACACTGCTTTCGGTATGAAAATCCATGCCCAACTCAGGAGATTTGCCAACAATGGCCGCACTTTTGTTGGAAATTTGCTGCTCCAACTCTTTAGCACTCTCCACTGGATAGAGATACATCTTTTTTTGGCTTGTTGTTAAAGCCTCAAAGTACAACTTTTCAAATATCGTATTTTTCAGAGTTTAAGACGCACCAAGATTTTGAAGAGGTAAATTTAAAAAAAAAGTTTTTGCACTCTGCAGACCTCTCAAACCCTCTGCCTGCCTCATTTTTGTGAAAAAAAATGGGGGATGCAGAGAGTTTCAGAGGCCTGCAAAGTGCTCCTGGGGGCTGGGTGGGGGAAATGAAAACAGGCCCGGTTTTTTGCCAGAAAGGGCATGCATAGCCTTTAGAAGGCTTGTAGAGTGCTCCTGGAGAAGGAGCAAAAATGAGCAAAAAATGGTCTCTTTTTCACTCATTTTTGCCCTCCCCAGCCCCCAGGAGCACTTTGCAGGCCTCCCAAACGCTCTGCACGGCCATTTTTCTGAAGGGGTGGGGTTTCGGGAGGCCCAAAATGCTGTATTCAGTGTATAAGACGCACCCAGATTTTCACCCTCTTTTTTGGGGGGGAAAGGTGCTTCTTATACTCTGAAATATATGGTAAGCATCTTGAGCCTCGTGCAGATGTTCTAGTCATTTCTTTCCCTTTAAAGCTACCCAAACAGCCCTTTTAAAGGGGTGGTATTCACTTACCTTCCCTACAGGCCAGGCATGAAATCCTCTTATGTTCACTGCTGGTTTGGAAATAGGAGCGTGGTCTGCATGCGCAGAGCGTCTGTGACGACATCTGGGCTAGTGGGCAGAGTCTCCCGCTGCTGCCGCTACTGGTTCGCCCAAACCAGGGTGAACAAGCAGCATTCCACCTCTGCTACAGGTTCGCAAATGTGAGCATGCTCCGCTCAGCCTTCCCCGCATGCGTTTTTGATAATAAAAAAGGGGCCTAAATGGGACGGCATAGAGCCGGGGCAGGTTGGTGCCCCCCCCTGCCCCCACGATGTCCACTACCAGTTCAGGTGAACCATTCTGAATTGGCAGAATATCACCTCTGCTTCTCTGTCTGGACCCAGATAGCAAAAGAGGTCCCATGGACCCCCTATTTCTGTGTGGCATCACACCAGTTGTGCTGTGCTTTGGCAAACAAAAGCCTCTCAGGGATCTTTAAAGCCACAGAGGTTACCTTCGTGCCTCTGTTTCCTACACAGTGCTCTTCCAGCTGTGGAGGGGGTTTCAAGACCCGCGATGCGCATTGCATGGATGTGCGAGAGAAGAGAACCCTGAGGCCGTTCCACTGCCAGGCTGTGGAAAGCCAGCCAGTGCTGAACATGAGCTGTAACATGGATCCATGCTTCAGGTGGCACACAGAATCCTGGAATGAGGTACAGTGCATCATTCTGATTAATTAACTAATTAATCACTTGCATATCGTCCTGGTGGAGCCTGAACATTCTCAAACTGTACAGAACTTAGAGCAGCCTTCCCCATTGTCAGCCCAACAAGGTAGCAATAGCAATAGCACTTAGACTTATATACCACTTCGCAGTGCTTTACAGCCCTCTCTAAGCGGTTTACAGAGTCAGCCTATTGCCCCCAACAGTCTGGCTCCTCATTTTACCCACCTTGGAAGGATGGAAGGCTGAGTCAACCTTCAGCCTGGTGAGATTTGAACTGCCAGATTGCAGGCAGTCGGCAGTCTAAGTGCTATTGCTATTGCTACCTCTGCAGCAGGTTCATTTTGTTGTGTGTCCTATTGTGGGTGTCACGGGGTAAAGAGGGTCAGGAAGAGGAGGGGAGCGATGCCTTCAAGCAGGGCAATGCAGTAGGAATCCTGACATTCTAGCTAGGGTCCTGGAGTCCTCCCCTAGTCTTTCATTTCAGCTACTCTGTTGGGATCGTGGCAAGACCAAGAGCAGGGAGGGAAGGAAGTCACAGGAGCAGGAATGATATAGGACCGTGATGGCGAACCTATGGCACGCATGCCTGAAATGGCACACGGAGCCGTGTCGCTTGGCACGTGCAGCGATGCCCATTCCTCTTCTGGGTTTCTGGCGTGCATGCGCCCGTGATGATCAGCTGGCCTTCATGCATGCGGCAGTGCCAGAAATTGGAAGAACTGGTCTTCCGTTTTCCA